CTTCCCATCCAGCTTTTTATCCAGCTCCCTGCTTGTGGCCTGCAAAAGCAGTCGAGGACGGCCCAAAGCTTTGGGAGCCTGCATCCGTGTGGGAGATCCAGAAGAAGCTCCTGGCTCCTGATAGGCTCAGCTCTGGGATTGTGACTCTTGGGGAGTGAATCAACAGATGGAAGATCTTCCTCTCTGTCCCTTCTCCTCTCTGTATATCTGCCTTTCCAATAAAAAAATAAAAAAAAAATTTTTTTTTAAAGAGAGATATCTATCATACTCCGATTTGGGCTGCAGCGATTGGGGCTGGACTAGGTTGAAGCCAGGAGCCCTGAAGCTTCATCTGGGTCTCACTTGTGGATGGCAGGGACCAACCAATTCTGCTCCCTTGCCAGGGGTGTTAGTAGGGAGTCAGGTCAGATTCAGAGCAGCTGGTACTTGAACCAGGTATTTAATATGGGATGCTGTTGTTGCAAGAGGCTTCATCTGGTGTGTCAAACACTGACATTCATGTCTAAGATTTAGTCAGATTTTAAAGAGTTTATTAATTGATTTATTTGAAATGCAAGTGACTGGGAGAGAGAAGGACACAAAAAGAGAGATAGAGAGAGCCTGGCACGATAGCGTAGCAGCTAAAATCCTCACCTTGAATGTGCTGGGATCCCATATGGGTGTTGGTTCTAATCTCAGCGGACCTGCTTCCCATCCAGCTCCCTGCTTGTGGCCTGGGAAAGCAGTCGAGGTGGCCTAAGGCCTTGGGATCCTGCACCCTTGTAGGAGACCTGGAAGAAATTCCTGGCTCCTGGCTTTGGACTGGCCCGCAGCAACGGTCATTGTGGTCACTCTGGGAGTGAATCATTGGACATAAGATCTTCCTTTCTGTCTTTCCTCCGCTCTGTATGTCTGACTTTCCAATAAAAATAAATGAATCTTTAAAAAGAGAGAGCGAGCGAGAAATATCAGTGATCTGTAATTCACTACCCCAGTTTCCACAATGGGGAGCAAGATGCCAAATACCTGAACCATCACTGCTTTCTCTGAGTGTCTCTGCTGGCAGGAAGCTGGAGTCAGGAGACAGCTCTGACAAGAGATCCAAGTGTATCAAATTCTAGGCTAAGCACATACCCCACAAAATATGTCCTAATTATTGTAAGCTTATTATTTACTAAGAGATTGAATATAAAAGTTGTAGCCTCAAAAATCAACACATTTTGAATTTCTATCACTGTCATTTTCAGTTGAATTTTTTTCAAGAGAATTCCTTGCCAGAATTTCTCTGCTTCCATCCCAATCTTATTTAAGTCTTATTCTGCTTATTATTTTCCTGAGTTGCATCTAATGATTCCTAAATAATTCCTAAATTATTGTCAGACACTTGGCTTTTTAATTCAGCACATACACTTTAAATAACTCTTCTTAAAAAGAGGGCATCTGGGGCCCGGCGCGGTGGCGCAAGTGGTTAAGTCCTCGCCTTGCACGCCCGGGATCCCATATGGGCGCCGGTTCTAATCCCGGCAGCCCCGCTTCCCTTCCAGCTCCCTGCCTGTGGCCTGGGAAAGCAGTCGAGGACGGCCCAAAGCTTTGGGACCCTGCACCCGCGTGGGAGACCCGGAAGAGGCTCCTGGCTTCGGATCGGCATAGTATCGGCCCGTTGCGGCTCACTTGGGGAGTGAATCATCGGACGGAAGATCTTCCTCTCTGTCTCTCCTCTCTGTATATCCGCCTTTCCAATAAAAAATAATAAAAATAAATCTTTAAAAAAAAAAAAAAGAGGGCATCTGGGGCCTGGCACGATGGCCTAGTGGCTAAAGTACTCATCTTGCATGTGCCAGGATCCCATATGGGTGCCGGTTCTAATCCCAGCAGCCCCGCTTCCCATCCAGCTCCCTGCTTGTGGCCTAGGAAAGCCATTGAGGACAGTCCAAAACCTTGGCACCCTGTACCCGCATGGGAGACCCGGAGGAGGTTCTGGCAATTGGCTTCGGATTGGCTCAGCTCCAGCTGCTGAGGCTACTTGAAGAGTGAATCATTGGATGGAAGATCGTCCTACCTCTCCTCCTTTCTGTATATTTGACTCCAATAAAAAATAAATTAAAGGGGGAGGGGCGGAATCTGAAGTGTTCATGTCATGGTATAGCTAGTTAAGTTGCCACTCGTAACAAAGGCATCCCAATTTAGAGTACCAGTTTGAGTCTTGGCTACTCCTCTTCCTGCTAAATGTGTCCGGGCAAGGAAGCAGATGAGTGCTGAGGTGCTGAGGCCCTGCTGCCCAGGCTTGGCTGGCTCCTGGCCCAGCCCTAACTGCTACAGGCATTTGGGAAGTGAACCAGTGGATGGAAAATCTGTTGCAACACCTCTCCGTTTGTCACTTCGCCCTTCAGTGGAGTGTGTGAGTCTGAAGGACCTAGTGCCTGAGTCAGTGATGGCTCAGATGACTGGATTCCTGCCACCTGCGTGGGAGGCCTGAATGGTGCCCCGGCCCCAGTCCAGCCACGGGTTGTTGTGACCTCCTCCCCAGTCCATTTCCCTCAAACAAATTAAGTGAAAAATTGAAAAAAACAAAACTAAACTAAAAATGCTTTCATTGTTTTCTTTTACTTATTAATTCAGCCACATACAGCTTTTTCTTGAAAATATATATTCGCAAAAGATTTATTTTGTTTTTTTTGAATGTCAGACTTACAGAGAGAGAGAGAGAGTGAGAGAATCTTTCATCTGCTGGTTCACTCCCTGAATGGCTACAGTGGCCAGAACAGGGCCCATCTGAAGCCAGGAGCCAGGAGCTCCCTCTGGGCCACCTTTGTGGGTTTAGGAGCCCAAGGACTTGGGCCATCTTCCGTTGCTTTCCCAGGCCATGAGCAAGGAGCTGAATGGGAAGTGAAGCAACTGGGACAGAAACCAGCTCCCATATGGGATGCTGGTACCACAGGGGGAGGCTTAGCCTGTTGCATCATGGTGCTGGCCCCTCTTGAAAATAGCTTAAAATAATTCGAAGTTCTACACATTTTTCTTTAGAAATGTATCGCCCCTTGTATGTTATCTTCACTTATCTCGTGTTGCTGGTGAGATTTCTAATGCCAATTTGATCTTTCTTTAATGAGGCTACATCTAGAATTTTCTCTTTGGAACCCACATTTTGCAAAGCTGAATAGGCTAGCTTTCTTTTCTTTGGTACTAGCGCGCTCTGGGACCCTGCTCAGTGCTAGGTACAGGACACCCGTGCTGCAATTTTGCCTTAACCTACAGTAGCATACTACTGAGGACAGTGTTTCATTTCTGCTCCCATTTTCTCTTTATCCTTACCGCTCCCCTCCCCAGCTGTTGCAATCTTCATTCACATAGTCAATCATGTTCATTCATCTTGAAGATGAGGCACCTGGGATGCTGACTGAGCACTTGGGAAGGTCTTGCAACTTAGCCAGCTTCACTCCAGGTGAGCGGGCGGGCAAGCGGGGCTGCCTTCAGTTCTTCTACCCTAAAGCCAGCTGCCCAAGTTGTCCTCGGAGAAGGTGGGCACCCCTGATTTTTTAGCCTGGGTTGAATGCCTGGCTAGCCTACCTGAACTGTGGGATGGACTCATTCTGTGTTTTACCTCTGAACCAAATTTCCATCTTTTTAAGCCATGTCCAGGCAGACAGGCCCCCAACCACGCCTGCACAGACTCATTGTATCAGATGACTTCTTCCACTTTGCCTAGACTCCACTTGCAATTCTGTGTGTCAAGTTGAACTTTTTTCCCCGGTGGGTCCTTTTCTAGTTTCTACTTTTATAGATTCATATAATTTTACTTCTTTTAAAAATCAGTTGATGGAGTCAAAAGAAGGAGAAGGGATTAATTTATGCGCTCAGCCAGTTTTAACAGAATAGGACTCTAAAATGTAGTTAAAAATTTTTAACTCTAGTAGAGTGAAAAATAAATGACATAGCGGTCTTGAAGCAAGCAAAAAAAAAATCTGAATGCGTGATATAACAAGATTCTTGCATATACTTGAATGTTTAGCATATTTTTAAAGATCTATTTTCATTGGAAAGTCAGATATACAGAGAGGAAGAGAGACAGAGAGGAAGATCTTATGTCCATTGGCTGGAGGTCAGTTGATCTGAAGCTAGGAGATTCTTCCAGGTCTCCCACATGGGTGCAGGCTTTGGCCCGTCCTCTACTGCTTTCACAGGCCACAAGCAGGGAGCTGGATGGGAAGTGGGATTGCCGGGATTAGAACCGGCGCCCAGATGTGATCTCGATGCTTGCAAAGCGAGGACTTTTTTCTAGGTTCCCATACAGGTCAACTTAGCATTTTTAAAAAACAATTTTATGTCCAAATGGCTGCAAGAGTCAGGGCTGGGTCAAACTGAAGCCAGGAGCCTGCAACTCCATTCTGACAACCCTTAGGCCACCATCTGCTGTTTCCTAGGGGCATCAGCAGGGAGCTGGATGGGAAGTCGATATGTGGGATTTAAACCCACAGGACAGATGCTCTGTGCTCAGCACTGAAGCCCTCTCAATCCACACATTAAAAAAAAAATAAATATTTAAAAAAATAAATATTCAAAAGTCAGACATACAGAGGGAAGGAGAGACAGAGAGGAAGATCTTGTGTTCAGTGATTCACTCCTCAAGTGGCCACAATGGCCAGAGTTGAGCCAATTCAAAGCCAGGAGCCCAGAGCCTCTTCTGGGTCTCCCACACAGGTGCAGGATCCCAAGGCTTTGGACTGTCCTTGACTGCTTTCCCAGGCCACAAGCAGGGAGCTGGATGGGAAGCAGTGTGGCCAGGACACAAACCGGCACCCATATGGAATCCTGGTGTGTGCAAGGAAAAGTCTTCAGCTGCCAGGCTACCCCACCAGGCCCAATCCATACACTTTAGAGATGGCAGATCTTAGGCACTCCTCAAACCCAATTTAATCCGTAAGTAGCTCCCAGAACCATAAAGTTCTCTCCCCCCCCCCACCCCCCAGGACACACAAGCGAAGGAGGCAGAAGGCATTTGCTAGTATTTCCAATAGGTTTACCTTGCGCCTGATGACACTGCTGGAGGGTGGGTGACTGGTACCAGGCTCGGCAGATCAGGAGTTAGATGAGCAGGCTCTTCAAAAACAGTCACAACAGGGTGGCTTTTCCTAAGTACATGGCTGGAGGCCCAGGCTGCCCACCTGCGCCTGCCTAGTGGCAAACCCTCTCTGCCCCAGCACCGCCACGTTGGGAATCTATCATAGGGAGAGTTCATCTCAGGCCTGGGGACTACCATGTCCCAAGTGCACGGTGGTCCCGAAGGCAAAAACTGACGGGAGCTGGGGCAGAATCTGGTGAGTGGATGTGAACACTGGGAAGAGATGGGAAAACACCAGCGGGATGATGAGGAACTGGATAACGCCGGCGGTGGGAGGTGGGTACGTGTCAAACCATGCTTCCCCACGCCTTTCATCTCAAGGGCATCTCCAAAACGATTTTCACAGACACTGCAGGCCTGGGAGTTCAGTAGAATTCACACGCCTCTTCTTTCTCTTTCTGGGCTCAGAGATAGCGGATCTACATCATTAAATTAATGGCTGCGGCTTCCCGACTGCGATTCAGGACGAGAAAAGCGGGGTTGCCTGAAAGACCAGTTAGTTGCCCAGTAGGCTGGCCTCGCAGCCGTGCACCGGCAGCGACCGAGGGTGGACAGGGCCCTCGCCCACGCGCGCGCCGGCGCCCGCAGTTACCACACGACGTGTTCGCGAACAGGCGAGGGAGCTCCCTGCGAGGCTCGCCCCGGGACGAAGGGCGCCCACGGCAGCCCGAAACCAGGGCTCGTCCCCAGGGCTTGCTCGCAGCAGCGGGGCCGCGGTCCCCGGGTTCGAGGGCCGCGGCCCCATCGCGAATGAGCGGGGAGGTGGGGGGGGGGGCGCGGGGAAGGTGGAGCGACGACGCGCAGGTTCGGAAAGCTTCGATTCCGCTCTCCCGGCCCCCCCGGCGGCCCACTTCCTACGGCAAGCACGAAGAGACAATCGCCGCCGCTCCTCGCGCCCACCTCCCGGGCGCTTCGCGGGAGTCGGCCCGGGCTCTCCTGTGCGGAGGCCGCAGGGGCCGCGAGCGCGTGCGTGTGTGCGTGTGTGTGTGTGTGTGTGTGTGTGTGTACGTGGACTCTCCGCTTCCCCCCGGCGCCCCTCAGCTCTGCTCCGGCCTGCCCCTTGACCGCCGGCTCGTCCCGCCCCGGGAGGCGTGGCGGGGGGCTCGCGGGCCGAGGCGACGGGCTCCCGGGCGGGCGCGAGCGGGGCGGCCGAGGTGCCCGGGCCGAGGCGGAGCTGGCCGAGGGCGGGCCTAGGTGTCCGCGCAGGGGGCGGGTCGCGCTGACGTCCGGGCGCCCGGGCCGAGCTGTGGCTGTGGCGGTGGCGGCGGCGGCGGAGGCTCCTCGGCGGCAGCAGTCGCAGCAGCGGCAGCCTGGACGAGGGTGAGACGGCCGCGGCGGCTCGGAAGTCGGGCGGGATCGGGAGCTTCCCGTCTACCGCTGGCGCTGAGGCTTTTTTTTTTTTTGCCTTTTCTGACCCGGCTTCTTGCTCCCGGCCCTGACTGGGCAGGGCAGAGCTCCCCCGGGGAGGGGCGGAGCTGTAGGTGAGGCTTCTGGACCCCCTCCTCCTCCTCTCCTGACCCTGGGCGAGGGGGGGGGGATGGGGTAGCCCGGGGAGGGGCGGACCCCACCCGAGCACCCCCAAGCACCCCCGAGCACCCCGGAGCACCCCAGCCCACCGGCGGGCTCCACCCCGCATACTCCGGGATAGGGCGGGAGCTGAGGCTGGAGCAGTGGGGAGCTCGGGGCGGGAGGTGGGAGGTAGGGGCTCGGGACGATTTGCAGGGCGGAGGGTGGGACGTGGTTGAGGCGTGGTGTTGCCGGCCGCTGCTGGAGAGTTGGGGACACTGGGGAGGCATCAGGTTGGGGTGCCGGCAGAGTGCATTTAGGTAACTGATGCAGAAATGCTGAAACCCCCCCCCCCCCGCCCCCGGCTTTTATATCGGTGACATGGTGTGGTACGGGAAGGGTTAGGTGAGCTGGAGATGATGTTTTTGGAGGCTATGGGAGAAGCTGTTGCCTTAGATCTGCTTGATTCTCTCCCCTCCACCTTCTGCTGGTTTTGGTTGACGAGGGGGGGGTTGGTTGGGGCTGGCTAGGGAGGGAACAGAATCCCTTGCTTTAGCTCCGTGTGAGTAAATGGGGAGCGTGGAGAGAAGAGTTTTATCTCCAAGAGGAAGATGATCTTGGCTTTGGGCAACTTCATCCTGGCAGCAACCATTAGGGGACAGGTCTGTCACACTTAGCCCCTGGAGGGGTTGGCTTCCAGTTTTTCCCTGGGCCTCGCTTTATATCACTTTTTTTTTTTTTTTAATGCAGACTTTGTCGTGGCTCCCTAAGAGTAGGCCTGAGGCTCAGGTGGTTGTTTTGGAAGACTCGTTTCTGCGGATTCGCTGCAGGTGGCCAGGATTGACTGCTTTGGGTGGATAAAGTGAACCATTGGAACGGTTCTGTGGGAGCTAATTACATGAGAAATGCTGAGATGTTTTAGAGCACGGCCGGCCGTCTTGGACAGCTTGTTTTTCCGCTAGACCTTGACATTTTAAATGGTTTGCGTTATTTTTATTTCTCAATTGCAGACGTATTTATTGCAGCCTTGATGAAATAGTACAAATGGAATGGAGTAGGGCCAGGCATGGTTGCTCGGGGTATTGAGGCCTCCGAGACCTGCCATCCCCTGCAGTGGCCTGGTCCACACTTTCCATCCAGTTGCTTGCGGCTGCACCTGGGAGAGGTATGGGGGGACTGGGGGGGGGGGGGGAACCCAGCCCTGGCTGTTGCTAGTGTGTGGGGGCAGCTAACTAATGGATGGACGTCACTTTTCTTTGTTACTCTGCCTTTCAGATAGATGAATAAAACTTAGAAAGGCATGGAAGCTATTTCTTATCGTTTCTTCTGAATGTTCTTGGAAGTGAAGTACTTTTATAATAGTGTAATAATGCTTTGGATTCGTGGGGTTTATTTTGTAGGAAGATGTTGCCAAGAGTCAGCAGTGGTCACTGTTCTTCACTTTCTGGTGCATAAAGCAGAATCTTCTGGATTCCTGTTCCCTGTTAGATGACAGCTTTCACTAACCTTGTGCATCAGTTAGTGTCGTTTAGACTAATGCTGGTTTCGAAAACTGGTCCTGTTGATGGACGTGTGTTATGTAATGGGTGGAAGTAGGTAGATCTCTTAATAATTGATTTATGAAAAAAAAATAATTGATTCATGAAAGAGAAAAAGGAAGTCATGAAATAAAGAACTGAAGTCGTGACTTTCCCAAGGCTGAACCAGCTTGTGTGGGAATGTGGCCAGAGATGTACTTTGCTGTGAGCCCAGAGAGAAACACACAGCTTTGAGTTTCAGGAGCTGCAGATCCTTGCCTGTGGACATGACCGATGAGCAGGCGGTTATCTGCCAGCGAAGGCAGACCTACAGACAAAAGGGTGTAATAGCTATTAAGTGAGACATTGCGTGGTCCAAGATATAATTACAAAAAATATTTAATTAACTGTATTAGACATTTAATTTTAGGTTAGTACAAGAAGTATAGTTTTGATGTGGGTTGAAAGTCATATCTAGGAGCTGGCATCCCGTATGGGAGCCTGTTTGTTTCCCAGCTGCTCTAACTTCCCATCTAGCTCCCTGCTTGAGGCCTGGGAAAGCAGTGGGGAATGGCCCCAAGGCCTTGCTGGAGGGGGGTTTTGGCTCCTAGCTAAGGTGTGTTTACTTTAAGGCAGAAAGAGAGAGAGTGTGGGGACAGGGCTGAGGGGAGCTTTCACTCACTGATTCACTTTCAGATTGACTGGAAATGCTAAGGCATGAAGTGTCAGCATTGCGAGCAGTGGCTTAATGTGCTGTGCCAGAACTGACCCCATCAGGTGAAGCTCTGTTGAGTGTATTCCTAAAGTAACCTGCATTGTTGACGAAGATGGGATTCCTAAGCAATGATGTTATATAACCTCAGAGAAAGTTCAAAGTAGCAGTAACCCAGCCTGTTGAGGATTATTGTGCTGGGAGGAAAAAAAAAAAGTATGTATTTTATATTTTTGAGGATGTTTGTTGTTATTCATTACTTGGTGAAATTCTGTTGAGACTGGTAAAGTGATCTCTCTTTTTAATAACTAAAGTCATAGACAAGTGTGTGAGTCTGTTAATTCAGCATTGCTATTGGGAACTTGAAAGTGAAGGTTTTCATTCCACCAGCTACTGTGTTTTATGCTGGAGCATGTACTGTGAGAACTGTTAAAAGTATGTTTGCTGATGTGGGCCCTGGACTGGGACACGGGGTTCAAATGCCTGAATCCCATATTGGAAAACCTGGGTCTGAGTTCCCATCTCACTCCTGTCCGCTCAGATTTCTGTTTTTCTGCTCAAGGAAATCCCGGGAGGCAGTGTGTGGTGACTCGTGGTAGTCTCCCTGTCACTTATGTGGGGGCCTGGATTGAGTTCCCAGCCACTGGGGGGGTGGGGTGAGCAACAGGTGGGAAGGCCTTCCTGTTCCTCCGAAAAATTTAAAGGAAGTGTTTTACGTGTGTGTTATATTGGAGACACTGATGGAAAAGGTCAGGAATAAAAATATTTTCATTAATTAAATAATCAGTAGAGAAAATTGAATATGTTAGGAATATAATTCTGTGGCACTAAGGTCTTTGTGTTGTGGAGTCAGTGCCTCAGTTCTAATGCTGACTTTGCCATTGTCTGACTGCCTACATTTTTTTTCCTTGTTTCTTTCTTTTTCCCTGCCTCTCTGTCCTTTCCCGTGTCCTTCCCTCCCTTCCTTCTTTCCTTTCTCCCTTTCTAAAGATTGTTTCATGTTTATTTTAAAGACAGAGTTACAGACAGAAGGAGACAGGGATGTTCTATCCACTGGTTCATTCCCCAAATGGCTGCAATGGAGAGATGTGCCAATGTAAAGCCAGGAGCCAGAAGCTTCCTCTTGGTCTCCCACGTAGGTTCAGGGGCCTAGGGACTTAGACTATCCTCCACAACTTTTCAGCTTGTGAGCAGAGAGCTGAATCAGAAGTGGAACAGCTAGGGCATGAGCCAGTACCTGTATGGGATGCTGGTGCCTCAGGCAGAGGATTAGCTTGCTTGGTCATTGTGCCGGCCATTGCTTCCTTCCTTCTTTCTTTTTTATTAATTAAAAAAAATTAATATTGTTTGTGTGGTTGAGAGGAATGCTCATGCATGTGGGTCGCCGATTAGGATGGAGAGGGTCAAGCACAGAGGAAGGAGGTGGGACACATGCTTCAGTTTATTTTTTTGCTTCTGGGTCTGCAAGGAGGGAAAAGGGGATAACTCCTTGCTGTCAAACCACATCAGCACCCACGGATGGGGAATAGTTATTTGATGACGCCTTAGATACTTGGATGTGGAGAAGAATGTTTCAAGGGTGTCACTGGAGTAGTTTTGATAGTTGTGACGTGAAGTCAGTTTTCAGTGCACCAGGCCTGAGAACATCTTCCCAAGGTCTGTTGGCTGACCAACTCCACCATAGTGCATGCACAGACCCAGGAAGGACACGCTGGCAAAGCTCGGGCAGGAGAGTGGTCTAACTTGTTCTGCTTTCCATCCTCTGATGAGCCATTCACCCTTCTCTGCTGGCCTAGATGAGCTGGCTGCCATGTCTGCTGTGTGCACCTGGGCTTGCTGCCCACTGCACAGGCATCAGCAACTGAGGAGGTGCCATCCTGATGCATGGACTCTAAGGTCAGACCACTTATTATCTTGTGATTTTTTTCCCCTGTGTCTGGGGTTTGAGATCAGCCATCTAGTTGGGGAGACGCTCAAGAAACCTTACCTGGGTGACCTCAGCCTTGACTCTTGTGTGTGCCAGCTAGTACAGGGTCAGGTTTGGTATGTCGCCTGCACCAGCCAATCACATACTAGTGGATGTAGCTGCCTGGTCAGTTTTACCCTTGTCCCATCTCCCACGTGAACCAATGGATGGTGCAGCCTAGTTGGGGCAGCCCCCCACAAGCCTGGTCTTCATGCCTTCCAGTAGGTGTTGTGGTCTAGCTTGGGTGACTCCCAATAACTCCTACCAGGCCCACCTCCAGTCCTGTTTTTGGCATTGTTGCATGTGCTGAGGCTTATCCTGGTCTATCCTGCATCCCATTGGCTCTCTAGCACTTGCTCGGGTTGCTGTGGCTTAGCTCAGCTTGACCCACCTGCAGACCTGGCCCACACATGCTGATGGGTGATGCTACCTTGACCAGCCTGGCTCTCATGGTCAGGAACTAGATGTGCAGCTCAGCAGTGGAGTACCTAGTGTTCCCCTACTGGGCCCACTCCCAGCCCTGGATTTTGGGCCTGCCCGGGTGTACTGCAATCCAGCATGACATGACATGACTTGCATCCATTCCTGGCACTTTTCGGTGGGTTCTCTGGTGTAGTCTGGCTGTCCTATTCTGGGTCTTGTGTGTGCCAATGGGCTTAACAACTTAGCCCAGCCCCTGGCCTACCCCCAGTCCTGGATCTTGTGCGTACCAGTAGGAGCAACAGCCTATCAGGCAAGTTCCCCAAGTTCTACTGAGCTTGCTCCCAGCAACTGATCTTG